CGAATCGTCCGTCCTCCCTATAGGGATATACCTAAAACAATGGAGGGTCCAGCACGCCGGACTATCACATAAACTCCCAGTTCAAGAGACAATCCGATCGACATGTAAGAGGATAAAGCTGCCCGCAAACGGGAGAGAAACTCCGCATGCATTGACCAGGAGTAAAGATATCGCCGAATGGACAAGAACTTGCGGAAGGGAAAAGGATAAGAGAAGGCAGAAAGAAGCTGGAAAGATAGCGGCCTTTCAGGAGTGGAAGGATTCATGGACAAGCCAGATCAGGAAACACCGCCCTGGCCGACCAGCATCAGCCGATCCCGAACATTGGAAAGCGGCAAATATATTTACTGATAAACAAACAGGCAGGGTCAAAATGAACTTCAAAGATGCACCCTCAAGAATCCACCGTAACCTAACCAGGGCCCAAAGCAGTGTCGCCATTCAGCTAAGGAGCGAGCATATCGGACACAATTCTTACCTGAGCAGAAGAAAAGTACCCAGAGTAGAAAAGCCAAGCTGTCAATGTGGATATCCGTCGCAAAACGTCAAGCACATGGTGTTGGCGTGTCCGCAGTGGGCAAATGCAAGAGGCGACTTTCTCCAACAAGCTAAAGGCAGGTCATTTGAAGTAATGATGAACAGCCCAGAAGACATGGCCAGAATTACATAGTGGATACCAAACAAAGGGTGGATAAAACAGTTTAGACTTGCAGGAGAAGTCGAGGTAACAATGTAGGATAAAGTAAATAGATCGGGAAGGGGAGAGGATGGAATCCACACGGGCTGAACAGTGTACAATGCACTTCCTGAAGGTAAACCAAATAAATTGATAGGAACATAAAAAGACAGGATCAGGGGGTTTTGACCAAATTGGTTTCCTCCTTTGTAAATAATGCAGATAGTCACCTGCATGGACCCTTTTTTTTTTAAATCATTTAATGTGTATTCAGCTATCTAGCTATGACACATGACCGATGCTATGTATACATGTTGGATGACACTTTTGACGTAAGAGACACTCATACTCTGGATTTCATTTGCAAATATCGCTATGAGGTATGCTTGCTTACACAAACAGTTGACCCTCCTCCGTTAGTACCCACCAAAGGGAATTTCAAAACCTTTGGTTATCCAAGCATGCCATCGCCGCGAGAAAAGTGGTTGTGTTTTGCTGGATTTGAACCAGCGATCTATTGTCTCAAGTGGGATATGTGTCCAAGCTATCCAGACTCTACTTGGCAGACCGGCCAAGACGATGTACCACCGCACCATCCAACCATGGCGATGTTTATAGTGTCGCCTGCACTCTCGCAAACGAAGTCATGGCACGCGCAAAGCTCAATTCGTAGAAACTCCTTACCAAAATTCAAAATTTCATGCCCATTGAGGTTATATCCATACTCTGCATTATCTTATGGTCTTGTCCTGATCCCTCTCACGTCCATCCCAAAGAACTATCTCCCAGATTTGTGCGCCACGCTTTGCTTCCTCCATCGGATGTAAATATCGGCGTGGGCGTGTATTTGGTGACCGGCTGAGGCCAGAGAAGGTCGGCGAGAGTTGTGGTCATTGGAATGAGGATGTACTTGGTCGTACTTGTAGGCTTAATGAGGCTTAGCTAGGAATCGATTTCGTTTGGAGTGAAAGATTGATATGGTGGAGTTTTTTGAATCATTGCCTCGTGGGCCAACTTGTTCGTTATTGCGAAATTTGACTGAACTTGGCTGTGGGAGAATATTTCACTCCCAGGTTCGTAGAGAGCACCACTGACAGGCGTTCAGTCTTGCCCTCCCCTGCATGGATCCATTGGGTGCCTGATGGGGTTAATTGAAATCAAATTCAAAAAATTCAATCATATAACATTCCGTTCTTCAGCTTTACATATACAAGTAATTCTATCCTTAAAATACAGATCCCCGAGGCTTTAGTGAACCCAAACGCCAAGTGATCTAGCAAAAACCAGCCACTTAATTGTCACAGGATAGTATTTCCTACCCACTGCATTTCAGATACCACTGAACCTCATGTCGCCCAGCTAAGCTTAGCTACTTACAATCAGATCAGTTAAATTGATCTTGATGATCATACTTAATGATCTAAACCTTCATATAAACTAAGTCTAGATTTCCAACACGTAGTACATTCTCAGTCTAATGATCACACCTCTCATCGACTTCCTCTGGTCTGAAACAACCTCCATAAACATGCCTACTACAATAGGATTACTCATAGGAGGACAAAAATCGAGGCGCCCAAGTATGGAACGAAGTTCTTTGGGATGGAAGTAAGAGGTATCAATACAAGTCTACAAGCTAATACAAAAGAAGGATACAATCTCGACGTGCGTGAGATTTCGAATTTGGCAAGGAAATTTACACAGTGAAGAGTATTGTGCGCGCCGATAGTTCGAATGCGAGAATGCAGCTGACATTATAAAAACAGGTCAACGATGGAATGCGCCGTGGCTAGCCTCCTGGTGATTGTCTACGGCATAGTTTGAGTGGTCTAAGCACCTATTTCACTTGGGAAGGAGACGCCTAAGACCAAATTTCGCGCGGAGAAAAGACAATAGATGAAGGAGGCATGTCCGGATAACTCAGGGATTTTGAGACGTTCCCCTGAGTGGTTATTCACGGATGAGGGTTGACTTGGGGTGAAGAAAAAGCCACCATAACTTCGCAGTGGTACTTGCAAATGAAATCTGAGGCATGAGTGCTATTTCCTTACGTTGAATCATCTATTCTGTACTTTTCTCTGATATTATGTGATAGCTAGATAGCTGCATACGCAATTCAAATCTGATGCAAAAAAATATATACATGTCGATTGGTCGTAACATTTACAAACACAGGGTCCAAGCCGTAAACTGAAAAGTCTAAAATTTTCAAGTTTGTATCTTTTCTAAGTGCCTTGGGGATGAAAACTCGATATCTATCATTTTTCTCCCCTATCAACTTCCAGCGCTCATTGCAGATTCTGCAGAGTCGAGATTAGGTAGTAACGATCACACTTCCATGAGAATTTCCAATTGCTTCCGCGGTCTGTATCGTCTTCATCTCTCAACGCATCCCCCTATCACCATTATCATGAAGCTAACCACGATCAGATCAGATGGTAGGGTCGGAGCCCTACTCATCATCAACCCTTGATCATGGAGGAGAGCCATCCGATGAGTTTCCGAAGCGTACCCAGCACTCATTACGGAGATGATGGATTGGATCAAGTCGGCCTCGACTGTTACAAAGAAAGGAGATATAGATGGATATGCGCACCTCATATGGTCTCGGTGTCTAGGCCTCGCCTGGCTGGGGCTGCAGGTATTTTTCAGACTTTTTCCCGCGCACGCAGCTTCGATTGCTACCATTTTATTTTTTTGGGTAGAAGGTTCCGTGGAAAAGGTGGCCGAATTCCACGGATAAATACTGAGCTGAATGGCTATTAATCAAGGGGAATATATCAATGATCTTCCAAGAAACATGAGAGGCAAGGAGTACTGTACAAGATCTAGCCTGGGTCAGAGAGGAGCCCATTGTGCTAGAAAGTCACAGACCCCAGTAGCATAATAAACTACACTCACATGTTGCGAACATATAGCTGTTCATAAATCCAATTATTTAAAAAATAGGGTCACCTGAAAACTATAATGTGATTTGGCAACTACTTCGTTTGCGCGAGTCCAAATTGTATGGCATAAAATAACGTTGTGTACCCCTGATACCGGTTTAAGACGTTCTGTTATGTAGGAACTTGCATCCAGCAGTATCAGGCGAAAATTATTATAGTACATTTCTGTCATTTGTCGATGCTACATCATTGATCTGACTTTTGTCGAGCTCGTTGTGATAAAAGTTTTGTCTACAAATTCTGATAGCCTATGATAAAATTTTGAAGAAGCAAGCTTTTAGGGACGGAATAGCGTACTCATTTCTGTCGTTCAATCCAAAAATCACCCCATGATTTAGAACCTAACTAGCTATATTAGTTAACTTCTCAGGATACTAGAAAAGTCTAATTGTTCATTCCAAAACAGCCTAAGCGTATATTTGTTACATATAAACTCCAGAGCGAATCTACCGAATATCAAAAAAAACCATGTCTCGCTCCATAAAATTTCGCCAGTGATACATAATTTGAGCTACAGGAAAAATTCCCTCTATAAGTCAGGGGCTACAATCAGAAATGTTACCACTGACTACCAATAGCGAGATAATAGAGAGTACTATAATTAAATTCTGTGAATTTGTGTCGGGCCCACCCCCTATAAAGAGTGGTCATCTTCGATAGATCTTACATTATGTTCGTGTTCATAAATTACTTTTATCGAGCCTTGACTCTGATAAGTTATCTCTGGCTATGTCAGAAATTCTAGCCTTAGAGTCCAATTTTTTGTGGCTCATCCAACACCAAGCGTTATGTGCAGTGGATAGAAGCTTAAAAATTAAGGGAAAGAAAAGGTAAGCTGACCATCAACCCCTGACTTTTAATCAATTTTCTTCTATCTGCAGTCTGTGTGATAGATTTTTTCTTTGTTGCCTTTAGTTCCCGATCTAGGAATGAAGTTGTTACCGTCAGACTGTAGAGCTTCAATCTGACCAAGTCTCCCAGACAGCTTAAAGGAAGATTGTCCAGGCTATATTGAACCTCTAAGAGAAATCTTTGAATCAGGCACGATTCATCAGTAAAGGGATTCCCAAAGAAGCTGTTGTTGTATACTTCATTCAGCCGTCGCAATCCAGGTTGAGACTGCATAATTTCAGGATATGGTTCGATGTATCTGCTTGAGTTGAGCTCTTGTATACTTCGATATTCAATAATACATTATTTTGGTTATCTTTCTTATACCGCCACGGCATTCGAGGTCACATCAGAGCAAATTCAGCTGGCGACCTGAGATGTTGCGTGAGGATTTAAGGCTGATGAATGATGGCAGGACTAACATGAAAGCCATTGGGAAAATCATGTGCTGACTCTTTTCTTCAGCAAGCTCTATATGTAATTCTTCAAGCTGCTGAAGATGAAGATGTTGAGGGATTCCGATGTAGCTCATCACTGTTATTTATACTATCTGCTTTGGTGCTTGTGCTAGAGGTTGGACGGAATTCGATAGGCTTGATACCATTTTGAAGATTTGCTGATTCAAGCGCAGGAGGCCCATTTTGGACTTCCTGAACAGTAAGCTCATCTGACGCAGTGCCGCGCATTCCAATCAAAAAATGATCTTGATTTTCAATAAGAAATATCAAGACGCCTTGACTAAGCCGGTACTCTTGCGGAGCCATATCGTGAGTTGGATGCGAGATTATCCCTGGCTGGAAAATAGCTGAAAGGTTTTGTGCATTCATTCGGTTTTTATCAGATTTTGAGGCGAAAACGGCAAGAAGATCTAGGATATAGAGTAACAGTTGGCGGTTGAGTGGCGGCATTTCGGTTATTAAATTCTGGTAAGTTGAAATTGCTGCACCAAGGTCGAAAGTATCGTCAAGCTGGGGTCCATCTGAATCAGATCTTGATTCCATTATGTGGCCCTTGAGTGGTTCCCTAAAACGATCATATAGGTCTAGAGGAACAATAGGTTCAGGGAGCTGGTTCAAGTATCTTCGCAAAACATTTGCCGCATCATGTACAGTATAGCCAGCCCAGTCTAATCCTTTTCCGTAACGATCTGGCGAATCAAAGATATGTCGTAGTTCTTTTATCCTCTTCTCTGAGCCGCTAAGTCTAAAAATACCCTCAACGTTGGTTGCTTTAAGCGTTAGCATGGGATAGTACTTATATTTGGGTAATAGATTCTACATACCTTTTTCCTTCAGAAATACACCACATTTGGCGACTACAATCGGGACATAGCCGTAGATGTAGCTTTTCCCCTCAGAATCTACGAGTGAAATGGCTACATTAGCATAAGTGATGCTTTGACGTAATGGAACCCCGAATATTCCCGCTGGATGTTCGCCTGTTTTCTCAAATTCGTTAGCTTTTCTTTTGATAGTTTTATGCTAAGACTCCTCATCCAGTTACCTCTATCTAAACTAGAGGTCAAAATTTTTCCTTGTGGCAATAGGCGGAATTGAGGAAATTAGCGTTTCTTCGGCGTGTATTGTACTGGGAAGGGACGGAGTATACTAGCTTGTGTGGTGGATACAAACACTGTAGGAAGCTATTCCTTTGTTTGTTACGCCATCTACTCAAATACAAATGGACTCGTACTTATGAGTCAAAGAAGCTTATTTTTCTGGTTTGAATGGTCCAGTTTGGATGAACGGAAGGTGTATTTACCCTGATGATCTGTGCTATTTTTACTTGTTGGATCTCTTATATTTTTCCACCAAGTCTTCAGACTAGCTTTGGATGGTGGTGATGCAGCATGAGCTCCATTAATTCCGTGAGACGGCGTAGGTTGCGGGTTTGCGAACGATGCCTGGAGGCTCGAAGGAGCTCGAAACTCGGCAGACATAATGAACGAGACCAAAATACCCACTCCAATAAACGCCAGTTTACTCACAAAGTAAACTTCTCGTGTTGATGAGTTTAGGTGTATTTGTAGATGATGTTTTTGTTTGTGTCAGCCTAAGCCGAGTCTAGCTTGCTACTAGCTGTCTTTTGTTGTGAGGATGTTTTTCGAGTTCACTTCGATATAGAATGTTGCGAAATGATTTCATGAACGACAAGATGAAGAGTAGTCGATCGATTGGTACAATGGTTCTCTTATGGGGCAGAGTATGAGCTGGGCCCACCTCAGTATGGCACTAAGACTGATAGAAATATATCGATAAGAATGCACAAATATGTTTAGACGATAGGGTTTGCTTTCGATGAAGATTCAGAAAGCTAGGATTGGTCTTTGTGGAGTAAATCATGGGAGTGTAAGATAAATTTCACGTTACTGAATCTTGCTAGAGCACACCTTAGTTTTGGAGACTCGCTTCCCGTGCCCCAAGCTTGGGGGCAAGTTCTACGTGGACGATCAGTGCGTTTTCATGAGAAGTTGGCGATTATTACAACTTACTCCACTGTAATAGAGTGTTAGGAGAATCTCGGCAGAAATTCGGGGTGTCTCTTACTACTACTGATGGCGCTAGTATCTTCCTGCGATCTATTTATCTAGTCCTAGATGCATCACTTAAAGTGATTTATTTATAGAGCCATACAAGCATTCTGATCTCGTGATTCTAGCGGTCTACCAATTAAAGAATCCTTGTTGGCCCTCCGACCCTTGCCTGTAGCAGAATTCTGATAGATATTCCTTGCCCTACTAGGTAGCGCCCTCTCGATATTTGATTACAAAGGCTCAGAATCACTTGTGATAATTAGTTTTTAAGCCCGACAAGATCTAAAAAAATTTACAATATTCGAAATCAATAATGGAGGGGTGAGTAAGATTCAGATCGGGATGCAATAATTATTGCTAATATACTCCCAGCCTCACATCGTCAGAGCAGAAAGAGCTTCAATCTCGAATGGAGCGGAAGCAAATGAAGGAATTCATGGGAGTGGGTTTTACTCTTTCCTATCTCCTCGTGAATCTACAACAGTGTCGAAGATCATAGCCATAAGTCACTTAAGCTTAAATAATGACAGCCATATGTTAAACCATGTTTTGGTTGTTTAAATCTTCCAGCACCTCTAAACATATGCAAGACTAATTTAATGCAACACATAAAATGCTAATCATGTACAGATGTTCTCGAATCTAGTTTCTCATTGTTTCGACTCTTGCATTGATGACTTCACTACAAAATCTCTAATTCAGCGTGAATCTAGTTGTGTTAAACGTTGCGTTCAAAAATTTATGGCAGGTAGTGAGAGGATCGGTCAGAGATTTGGTGAACAACAGACGCAGATGATGAATAATCCACCACCTGGACGATAGATAAAGATTAATTCAAACACAAAAGACTACGACCATCACTGCGGGCAACACTAAGATTTTAGAATACGCGTGTAGGTCAATCAGGAAAGCTTTGTAATGGGGCGAAATGGGGCAGGGCGTATCGATAGTTGATTGTAACTCTCGGGTGCTTTTGTACAAATAGATCTCAACTGCCTTCGTAACTTCAAGTACCGAACATACAAGATAGTTCAGCGAAAAGCGAACTGACTTAAATCTATTCATGTAGATTGAACCGGCGCTAATTAGTACGCAAGACACATCGTTCCAACTCTGCATGTTCATTGACATGCCAGGCGTCCCTAAACCTCGCCACAATCATAATTTCAGCTTAGCTTTGAACCGCTTTCCCAAAACTTGTTCTCATAATCTTACGCCACACAAATTAACGCATGAATCATGGCTAATATTTCCCGCAAATCCATCACTGTGGAGTGCGTGGCTACTCACGATCCATATTAGGATCGTCGCCGCCATAGGCGTAACATGTGCACAAAAGACAAGACTTTAGTTCAGCAGCAGGCCAAAATGCTGCTTGCTGTTTATACTGGCAACAGTGATGAGGACTCACAGCGTAAAGTTGATGTAAACAAAGGTTGCTTATGCAGTCTCTATTCCACATGCTCGGTTAGGGTGTGCAGTACGCTGCCTAAAATGTCTACGTCAACAAATTATAGGATGAGGCTTGTTTGATATTGACTAATATGCATCCTTTCGCCACCAGGCTATAGACAGTCTGAATTGATGAATTAATTCGTGCGAGGCTGTCTGAGATGGTCGCCCCTTGTATCCCGGGAAGCATGATACAGACGATGGCTAACTTCACCTCTGAACAATGACTACATTTATGATTGACCCACTTATGACCACTTCATCTAAAGTGCGGACAATGAGCCACAATCTTTCAGTTCTGAGCGGAATTATCCCCTCCTCCCTCAAGTTTACAATTCAGATAACACCTACGGCGATTGCAATGATGGCGCCGACACTTAGAAAAATGAGAGTTATTGTGATATCAGACAGACCAACAATAACGAGAAAAGCTGTCGTCATATCGCAGCGAATGGCATCCGTCGGCTAGCAATGACGATCCCACCAAAGCAAAAGGACCCTTCTTCATTCAAGAAATGTAGATCCGGACTCGTCAATTAAATCTTTATTTCATATCATTATTCTGGAATATACCTACCAGTAGAGCGTGTAAGCTACACACTCTGCTTTGTTATCCCATGTGTATTATGACTCTTAGATGCTGAGCAAGACTACTTCATGGCCGTCATTTTCGATAAAGAGTTTTCTTACATCCTTTCACTACCCTCAGTTTGTCCTGCGGTATGTATGTGTGTGCGTGTGTTTATTGTACTACTTGAATCTATGACTACCTAGCACATTGGGTTCCTCTCTGACCCAGGCTACACCTTGTACAGTGCTCCTTGCCTCTCATGTTTCTTGGAAGATCATTGATATATTCCCCTTGATTAATAGCCATTCAGCTCAGTATTTATCCGTGGAATTCGGCCACCTTTTCCACGGAACCTTCTACCCAAAAAAATAAAATGGTAGCAATCGAAGCTGCGTGCGCGGGAAAAAGTCTGAAAAATACCTGCAGCCCCAGCCAGGCGAGGCCTAGACACCGAGACCATATGAGGTGCGCATATCCATCTATATCTCCTTTCTTTGTAACAGTCGAGGCCGACTTGATCCAATCCATCATCTCCGTAATGAGTGCTGGGTACGCTTCGGAAACTCATCGGATGGCTCTCCTCCATGATCAAGGGTTGATGATGAGTAGGGCTCCGACCCTACCATCTGATCTGATCGTGGTTAGCTTCATGATAATGGTGATAGGGGGATGCGTTGAGAGATGAAGACGATACAGACCGCGGAAGCGATTGGGAATCCTCATTGAAGCGAGGACTTTGTTACTCAATCTCGGCTCTGCAGACTCTACAGTGAAAGCTGGAGGTTCGTAGGGGACACCACTGACAGGTGTTGAGAATAGTCTCCCAATCAACACGTGTAAATTGCCGGCAAAGAAGAATTCGTCATCTTCCAGTGGTGCCGGTGTAGTCGCTCAGCATGCTCTGCACATCTGGGATAGCCAAGAAGAATCGCATCCAAATCGAAGTCGAAAGCAAACACATGCGTATATCCGGAGGGCAAGACTGAACACCTGTCAGTGGTGCTCTCTACGAACCTGGGAGTGAAATATTCTCCCAGAGCCAAGTTCAGTCAAATTTCGCAATATCAAAGAAGTTGGCCCACGAGGCAAAATTTCAAATTACTCCACCATGTCAATCTTTCACTCCCAAAAAGTCCGATTCTCAACTAAGCTTCATCAAGTCTACAAGTACGACCTAGTACATCCTCGTTTCAATGACCACACCTCTCGTCGACTTTCTCTGGTCTTAGTTGACCGCCAAATACACGCCCACGCCGATATTTACACCCGACGGAGGAAGCAAAGCGTGGAGCACAATTTTGGGAGATAGCTCTTTGGGACGGACGCGAGAGGGATCAGGACAAGTTTACAAGATGATGCAGAAGAGGGAAACATTCTCGACGGGCGTGGAATTTCGAATTTTGGAAAGAGTTATACGAATTGAGCTTTGTGCGCGCCAAGACTTCGCTTGCTCGAGTGCAGCTGACACTATAAACACAAGCCAACGATGGAAGGAGTTGTGATCCGCTTGCTGGTGGTGTTCTCTGGTATAGTTTGAGTAGCCTGGGCACCTACTCCACTTGGGAAGGAGACACCTCAGATTACATCTGGCGCGGAGAAAAGTAAATGGATGATGGAGGCATATCTGGATAACTCAGGGTTTTTGAGACGTTCCCCTGTGTGGGTATTCACGGATGAGGGTTGACTTGGGGTGAAGAAAAAGCCGCTACAACTTCGCAGTGGTACCTGCAAATGAAATCCGAGGCATGAGTGCTCCTCTTGTAAATTGAGTCATCTTTTCTGTACTTTTCTTTGATATTGTGTCATAGCTAGATAGCTGCACACGCAATTAAAATCCGATGCAAAAAAAAATTGCGTATATCCATTCGACGACTTCTCAATCATACAGCTCTCACCATTATCATCTGAGTCCTCAACCTCGATCTAACCACAAATCATCTCGCTTCAACGACCAATAAAGATGTCACCCCAATTGCAAACAGGAGCTTGCCTCATTTATCACCGGCCATCACTCACTAAAAATTTATGACGCTACGTATACCCGCAAGGAGGAAATTAAGTCATAATATACAAAGTTGGGGTCTTGGCTTATGGGGGACTGCTGCTCTAATGGGGTTATACATCTTGAGGAAGGACAGGCTGCTGAGTTGAGGAGCGAGGAGGGCAAGAGGTCTGTGGAGACCGTGCTGGGACTAACATTTCCGGGAAGTATTCAACCTTGGATTTTTTGTGGGCGCCAAGACTAAAATTTCGGCTAATTAGCCAGGAGGGCTTCTATTGTCGATTAGTCAACGGCACTCCCTAGCGCCCTGGACGGTACAAAACCCTTGATTATCCAAGCAAGCCTTAATTATTCATACATACAAGCGCCGCGAGAAAATTGGTCGTGTTTTGCCGGATTCGAACCAGCGATCTACTGTCTCGAGTGAGATATGCGTTCAAGCTATCCAGACTCTACTTGGCAGACCGGCCAAGATGATGTACCACCGCACCATCCAACCATGGCGATGTTTATAGTGTCGCCTGCACTCTCGCAACCGAAGTCTTGGCACGCACAAAGCTCAATTTGTAAAAACTCCTTCCCAAAGTTGAAAAATCCACGCCCGTCGAAACTGTACCCATCCTCTGCATCATCTTGTGAACTTGTTCAGAATCCTCTCACGCCAATCCCAAAGAGCTGTCTCCCAAATTTGTGCACCACACATTGCTTTCTCCGTCGGGTGTAAATATCGGCGTGGGTGTATATATGGTGGTCAAATGAGGCCAGAGAAAGTTGACGAAAGGTGTGGTCATTGGAATGAGGATGTACTAGGTCTTGTAGACTTTATGAGGCTTAGTTAGGATTCAATCCCGTTGGAAGTGAAAGATTGAAATGGAAGTGTACTTTGAAACATTGCTTCGTGGGCCAACTTCTTTGATGTTGCGAAATTTGACAGAACTCGGCTCTGGGAGAATATTTCACTCCCAGGTTCGTAGAGGACGCCGCGTAGAGGTGTTCGAATCCAGTGAAACCCACCCCCATTCCCTCTTGTGGTGACATTGTACTTGTGGAATGATGAATGCACATTCGGATAACCACAGGGTTTTCACGTTTTTCCTGTGGTGGGTATACACGGAAGACGTTTTACGCCCTAAAGGCTAACCTTGAGTGATATCTGCAAATGAAATCTGAGCGTGAGTGTTCTAAACGTCAACTTGAGTTATTCTACTTAAAGTACATATCTTCCGATAAAACTTACATGACCGTCAAGGCGCAAAATCAGGACAATTGGATTATTTATTTATTTATACAGCGAAGGGATGAAAGACAACCCTGTCTACGTGTCAAGCCTTGAAATCGAAATAGGATCAGACACGTCCTAATCCAAGGACTATTCCACTTGTCCATTACGCAACTACTATCCCTTTTTGGAAATGCACCAACCTGTTATCTTCTCGAAAAAGACGACAATATGACTTCCAAACTTCCGCTCTCGATGATTTAGGAACCATCCAAGGCTACGACCACAGAGCTTGTTATGTAAATGTACGATTTGATAGATGCCGGGAACATACATAACTTCCGTGACTGAGAGCTTTTTACTAATTACTTCGAAGCACGGGCAGAACAAGATCTCACACGAATCAATAGCATAACTAAATCAACCCTGCGGGAGTATATGATCGAACATGGTGTTTTTATGGTTAGAGTTCATGATAATGGAAATGGTAGCATTGAGAAACAACTTATGGAACCGCTCGAAACCGAAGAGTATCGTGATTGATCGATGTATGGATATGACTCTTTGGCAAATCCCAT